AACTAACCTTGATAAGCTTCTGATGTAACAAAACATCAAGGACGCCTTCTGACTTTGATCTCAGAATTCACTTAATTCAGGTAATTTGGTCAGAAAAGTCTTTACTTTGGATTTTTTTTTAATCTTAAAAAACCATATCCACAAGTTTTATTTAAAAACTTTCAATGAACTCTGAGATCAAAGTCACAGAAATTTAAATTAATCATGAAATTCTGACTCTTTACTTAAAACATGCATTTTTTCACAATTATATCAAAATCCAGGAATAAATGTGAGAATTACATTTTTTCTTAAACTCCTGTTGTTGTTGTTTTCAATTCAGCATTTCCGACTTGAATTATAGAATTGTCTCTTTTCTCTTCATACATTTCCAGGAGGACACAGTTTAAATGAAGTGAGGAAAAGAAAGGGAAACCCGTAGCTCCACTAAGACCTGCTGTCATATCTGTATCATTTAGATCTATTTATGAGAGAAGAATAGTCTTTTCACTCTGACCTGTCAGAGTTCAGGGTCTGATCTGTGTGACTGAGCTGAGACGGAGAGAGAAAATCTATTTAAGAAGGGCATGTAAGTGAAAAAAGCCGCTCCGTTCCCAGAGCTGGGACACCGTCTGGGGCGTGTGGTTAACCTTCAGGGGAAAGACAATGATTGTCAATTAACTGCAGCGTTTCTTCGCCCCGGCATCGGGCTGCAATGCCCCCCCCACCCCCTACCAAAGCAGACCAATGAGAGATATGCGATACCTCCGTGCGCCGCCCCTTCTGTTATAATAACCTTTCATGGAGTTCAAGTGTCACACACGGCAATAAGAACCTTCTTCGTCCCACCGCAGGGAAAATGAAAAGGAAAACAAGTAGACTGAACAGAGCAAGGATGTGGGGGCGGGGGGTAGAGGGTCTCCTGGAGGGACTGAGTTATAATGTAGAGGAGATTACAGAATCTGGATCAGTGTAGCAGCCACAATGTACATTGATAATCTGGCACAAGGGGTTCAGATGTTCAAAATAGATTCAAGTGTCGTCGACTAATTGTGGACTAACAGAAGTTAAATAGTCAACAACTATGGTGAGGAGTTTTCAGATCTCTGACTTCTCTGCTCCTTTATGACAGTACACTGAAAACCTTTATGGATGAATATGACACATATTTACGGACAGCATCATTTAAACAATTAAATTAGAAAAATAAGGATTTTTTATGTAATCCTGCATTTTAAGGATTGATGAAAAATAGTTCCACTAGATCTAATATGAAATATAGTATATATATACTATATAAAACACTACTAATCTGGACAGAAATCTCATAAATAAATGAATCAAAACTGCACCAGACAGACAACAACTTCATTAAAGAGGGTTTGAACCAAACGTTAGGGTCTAAAATGTGTTTCAGCCTTAAAGCAATTCAGTTTCTTTTCCTTCGTTGACAGTTCTCTGAGGAAACATAGTGATTAAAATAAAAATAAAAAAACTACTGATATTTCTGTTTTTTGAACGTAGAACAATTGCTTTATGGACTGTATAACTAAAGGGATAATGCACATAAAATAAATTGTGCCATTAAAATTAAACCAACCACAACAGTTAATTGTCAACTAATCAGGCGATTATTTGATTAGTAACTGACTAATTAACTAATTATTTAGTTGAGCAGTAAATTTATATATTAAAGAAAATCTGATGTTTAAGTTATATATTTTCTAATTATCTTTGTCTCTTTAATAGTGTCTTTGGTTTGAAGATAAAGAAAGTAAAAAACAGGAAGTCAATGTTTCAAAGCTTTTCAAATAAATCATAAAGGAAACTAAAAATAAAAAAAGTAATTATAAAAATCTATTGTTTTTTTTATAAACATTGTAAGGATTTTTTGTCAGAAAACCTTTAATAATGCCATCACATTTTTCTGAACTATACTAAACACAACATTATCATGGAATAGATGTTATTGGAGAGAATAAGGGAGAAATTCAAAGGACTTTCAGGTTCAACAGTATGACATTAAACTTGTTTCAATCATTTGACCCACTGTTTCACTTCTCACCCACTCAATTCATCCATGCATCGCTCTGTTCAGAAGTTGGTGGCGCTCCGAGACATTTGCACAGTACAGTTAATTTTACACAATGACTGCAAAAGCAATTTCGTCCACTGTAAATTCTCCTCCGTGAATATAAACCTACTGTTCTGTGCCTTTAAAAAAAAAAAAAAAACACTGTAACGTCCCAGCCCTGTTCTGCTAAAGTAAGCACATTGGTCGCAACCATTTGGTTGCAGGTCATTTGTGTGCCCTCCCTCCTCTGTGCCGTTATCAAAACTGAGACAGCGCTGTGATGTTATTCACATTCACACTGTGTGCAAAATGAGAGTTAACACAATAGACGGTGAGCAAAAAAAAAAACAGCATGTGAAATAGTAAGAGAGCCATTGTGCACGGGAGTGTTATCCACTTCACTGCTGCCACTATGTGTGTGTGTGTGTGTGTAAGGAGAGTAGTGACAGTAGTTGTAACAGGGGCCGAGATGAAAAGCTCAACTATCTCAGGCAGCGGCAGCAGCAGCAGCAGCAGCAGCAGCAGCAGCAGACTGTTGTTGTGTAACCTGGAGCAGGTTAACTGTGATACTGGTGATCTCTTACAGTGAGACGATTCACACACTGAACACAGGTGTCTTTTTAGAGAGAGCAGCTTTTCAGCATTTTGTCAGCAGCAATTGCAAATAATAATCAACTTATTTCGGAGCAACAGAAGCCTTTTTATGCAGCGGATGCCTCACTCTTCCATGATGTAATTCTCCAAATGGGGCAGGCAGGCGTACATGCACGCACGCACGCACACAAGCATACACACACACGCACCCAGACTCATACACACACACACACATACAGGGCCGGGTCTGAGTGATTGATTTCAGCCCAGCACTGAGCAGTGGAACCTGGCTGCTTTCAGAGACAATTACAGTCCTGTCCATGTGGCCGTAATAGCCCAGCACTTTAGCGTCATTAAAGCGACGCGAGGCACTGCATTATCCTTTAACCCCCAATCGCTGGCCATCCCTTCAATCCACCGCGTCTTTCCTCCCTCCCACTGACAACCCCGGAGAGTTCAACAACACACTTTGTCACCTGAAGCCAGACACCCCACAAACCCTCGCCCGCCACCAGACAATGTTCAAAAGGAGCATCACGACCCAATCCTTGGATGGAATTTGATGCGTAACAGCAAATGATATATAGAGTTCTGACTTTCCAAAAACATAGCCTTCTAGTGAAAATATCATATTTTTTTTCTTTTTTTATATATAAGAATGAATATAAAAAGCACCAACTCTCTGTCCCCAGAAGCTTCCACCAATGCTACAAAAAAAAACTAAAAAAAGCTATTATTATACATTCAAAAACTATATAAAACAATATATGTTTCTTAGTTTTTTTCCTAATTTGAAAAGAGAAATAAAAACCATGGACAATGAAGTGTTTAACACTACACTTTGTCACTTGGAAAAAAAGTAAAAACATCAAAAAGCAGCTGGTCACTGTTTAGGAATTCTTGAAACCAAAAATAAAAAACAGTATATATAGTAAATAAAAACAATTATATAAGGAAGATAAATCTGCATTTTCTATGCATTTAAGTCATTGAGAATAAGGGTGTGTTTTCCTTCAACTCAAAGGCAATTCTCGACACATTCTCGGTATTCCTCACTTTAGACTGTTGATAAAAACAAAACAGAGAATTTGCAGGATTAATTATTTTAAAATTCACAAATAAATTGGGAAATATCACATATTTGCATTTTAATTATGTTAAGAATAAAAGTCAATGAAGGGAAGAGCTTCAAAGCTCTGTGTATGGATCCTTGTTGCACACAGTACAACAGTATGTTTTTGGCAAAATTGTACAGAATCTGCAAATTGTGCAGGGAAAAATGCATATTTATTTCCATTGTAATTCTACTAGAAAACGGCAAAATTGCAAAAATTGGCTGCAAGTTTTTTTGGTTTTTTTTTGCATCTCAAAAGTCGGAATCGACTCTTTTTGCTTTTAACCTGTGACACAAATGGTCTCCCAGTGTGTGTGCGTGTTTTGGTCGTTGTTTTTTTTTTTCCATTAATTGTTATTCCAAACTCCAGTGAGCCTTTCTATCAAATTTGCATTTCCTGCTCATCTCTGGCTCTGGCAGAGATCAATATAGAATCAATCAAAGTGACAGGTGAAGATGGTAAATTTGAGCAGAGCTGAAGCGTCCGGTGAGAAGAGGTGATACATCAAGTGCTTATGGAGGAGAAGGAGCCGGAGAGTGGAAAAAATATATAGCTTTTAATCAAATATTGATCGATACCAAACTTAAATCACTCCATAATATAAAATATAGGAACGGTGAAAATACTGGGAGTCAGTGTGAGGAGATAGTTGCTGGTCTCGGTCCATTTGGTGCAGAGATCTCAGTTGTTTTGAAGTGTGGAGGTATTGTACGTGTATATTTATAAGAAGAGTGCTGTTATTTTTACCTTTTAAAAATGTGTATCTAGTCTAATTTGGTCCACAATCTAACGATATATTTGCCATTAAAAGTAATGTTTGGCCCCTAGAAGTGACCACGCTCCTGTGTGTGCAGCACTGTTGGACTCAGCAGCGGTGAGGCAGCGACGTTATCGATTTATTTGTTCACACACAGACAGGCGATCCATCATGGCAAAGCGTTCTTTGCCCTACACGTGTTCAAAACTTTGGCTAAAACTTTTCTCCCCTCCACTGCTGCGCGCTGGGATGCTACCAGCCCAGCAACTCCCTGTCCTAATAACTCGTGCGTTTAGTTGGTCAAATTGGATGCTTGGGCAAATTCCCACTCAAACGAATCGATCAGGAAAAACCCGAGTGATGAGTTAATCACAGCGCAGGAGGCTGGGAAATGTCTCCCTCTTTCTGACTCCTGCGCCTTTACGCACGGGGCGCAAATGTCGGGTTTAAAACACATTCAAACGTCAGCTGCTCCACTCACCTCGCGTTGGTGCAGTCGTTGTAGAGAGTCTCGAAGTCTTTCCTGGAGATGAGTTTGCAGCGGTTCACGCCGGGCTGGATGGCGCCGAGCCCTCTGAGGATGCGCACCTGCTCCACGTTGCACACCACCGGGGTGATGTCCAGCCGCTTCAGCTTGGTGTAGACGGTGTGCAGTCCGCCGACCAGGTGCTTCAGGAACAGGTCGAACGCCTGGGGCAGGCAGATGAGTTCGCTGCCCTCCACGGTGAACGAGGCCACTTTGGCACCGCGCAACTCCACCATCTTACACTCGTTGTTCTGCGGTATGTTCTCAACGGGGGAAGGGGTCGAGTACACGGGTTTGCCCGGCGGAAGAGCCGCGCTCGGGGTCGGGATGCCCGGGCTGCTGGTGGCCAAGAGCTCCGATCTGAAGAGGTTCTGAGCCGGTCCGGTGGGCGGCGGTGCCAGGGATGGAGACGGAGACGAAGTTGTCGACGGAGGGGATGTGGTGGCGGAGGGAGTGGAGATCGGAGGCGGTGGGACCAGAGGAGTTGGTGGGATCAGCGCAGCCGGTACGGCCATGGTCACCTACAATGAGGGAGAAGAGAGTCTTAAGCCGAAGTTCAAAGTAGAAAAACCCAGCCTGAATGAAGGAATCCTGCAGAGTTCAGCTCCTCAGAGAAGTTGGGAAGTGGAGAGAGGTGCAGAAAAAAGAGGCTTCGCTGCGTAAAAGGCTTTTTGGGACAATGATCAAAGATAGGAGGAGGAATGACAGGAGGAAAATGAGCTGAAAAGTGCAGCTCCGCTCTGTGGATGAGTTGTTGTTGTCACACGGTACAGAGAGGGAGGAGCCAGGCGACAGAGAAAGAACACACAACCTGAGCATGTTCCAGATCTGGTCCCATTTCTTTTCTTTTCTTTGATAAGCCAAAAATAGAATGATACTGAAGTAGAACTCGACATTCGCTGTTGATTAACAGTGTTAAATGTATATAGTACTCGGCTGGACCTTAGAAAATTCACGTGGTCTTTTTTTCCTCTTCCTAACTTTCACTTGCTGGTTACACCTGCTGCAAACCCACTGATCCGCCGCTGTTTATACATACATATACAGTATATATATATATACATATATATGTATATATATATATATATATGTGTGTGTATATATATATATATATATATATGTATATACACACATATATATATATATATACATACATATATATATACATATATATATATACACATATATAAATATATACACATATAAAACATTTTCAGAAAATAAGTTAAATAGCTACATTTAAACCTTGAACGAAGCAAAGTTTTACTCCTTACTTTAAAACTTAAAGTGAAAGTTAAGCCAGGAATCACCAAAAGACATAATAACAGATAATAAAGGTTTCTTAGCGAAATTTTAGCAAAATGCTTTAAATAACAGAAATGTCGAAACATTACCAAAGTGAGTAAAAACAGCAAAGTACATTACCATGTAAACTGGACAAAGGGTTCAATAAAAATAGCTGCAAGGGAAACAAAAGTTCATTAAAACAAGTGTTTTTAAAATAGAAAAATAAGCAAACGCTATTGTTAGCAAAAACGTCTGAAAGAGCGAGGGGTTGGTACTTATTTTGTGGAAAAGACTAAAATATAGGCAATAACATGAATTGTTAGAAGGGCCACTGAAATTCAAGAGGAACTTTACTCCTACCAACGTCACTTCTATACTTTAGGCATGCAGAAGCAACTACAACTAAAAGTTATGCCAGAAACAGTTACAAAGCTAAAAGTGGCTAACAAAACAGCAAACTTGAGACAGGAAATGTTAGACAGTAGCCAAAAGGAAATGCCACAAGGCATCCAAATATCTGCCAAAAGATGACTAAACATGAGGCTAAAGATATTACAATTTAACAAGCTCACTAAGTATAGCTCACTTAGTGTGAAAGGAAGATAAGAAGGAACTTTTAGCCAAGAAAAGAAAAACCAACAAAGCATCTTGGAGAAGATCTTCAAGTTAGCCCAAAATAATTCAAAGTTACCATATACAATAATGACATTAAGCAAATGCAGTTAGAAACATTACCGCTAAACATAAGCGGTAACATTAAGCTAGTTAAAATAACTATACGGTAAATTTGAACATCACACCCCTCCCCCCATGTTTTCACACTGCTATCATACTCATATTAATTCTCATATTTTCCACCTTTTTCTCCCCCAACATGCTGTTAATTAACGTCATCTTTCAGACATTACAGGCCCAATGATTCGCAGTTAACCCATGCAAACAAGAAGAGAGAAGGTGGGCAAACTGTTGTGACATTCATTGTATATAATGAAATCTTAATATGGTGCATATTTAAGTGAAAAGGTTAGCAACATAAAGGGCAAATGGATTGGCTGGCAATGAATTTTAAGCAGCTATTGATTTTACACTACCAGCTCCCCCTTTCCCTGAATGATAATTTTCAAATGGCACAGGGCTTATCTTTATAGCTGATCAGACAAAACAGGACAACAGGAATACAGGGAATATCAGTGCTCCGGAATGACATCCGGAATTGTTATGTGTTTCAATGGCAACAGTGTACCTACTTCTCTGATATTTCCATAAGCTCTGATCTAACTAGGCTGCATTGTTTAGTGGAATTGTCTGACTTCCGCCACCGGCTGATGCATGTGTTGGAAAAAGCTTGGGAATTTATACGTATGCAGAGAGCAGCGTCTTACTGTACATGAACCTGACCTCTGGTACAGGGCTGCATTTCCTCCCTCTCTGCCTTTATCCTCTTTTCCTGTTCTGTCTGAAATTGAGCCTGTTGTAGAAGTTGGAGAGTTCAAGTTCCATCTGGGTGAAACTTTGTTTAGTCATCACAACTCTAGAAGAAAATGACATCTAAACTTCAGCTTGTGTCTCTTAAGGCTACAAAAACAGTTTTATTGCACATAAAATAACTCAATTTATAAGAAATACTTATATAACTTAATAATTATTAATCAGAACTTTGACTGTATGTATGTATGACTGTATGACTGGGAATTAATTTGGACTGAAATTAATTGAATTAAATAATCTTGGTCAACTTTTTTTTCTGAACTCCATAATCTGATCTATTGTGGTCCAGCTACACTGTTCGCCTGTACAACAGTGTTTAGGCTATTGTTAGCTCTACTGTACGTGCACTTTGTCATGCAATTCAAACATAACAGTGCAATCCTCCCAGCTTCCACTAAGAAACTGTGTAAGAAAAAAAAAACCTTTCACCCAACAAATAATCTGTCTTATCTTTTTGTACTTATCACATTTTCATGCTGAAATCTCTCATTGCATCCTGTACATCTTCTTCTGGGTTGGAAATGGTATTTATGGCTCATTACTGCCACTGAGTGGGCTGGAGTCTGTGCATCACTTTTACCAAGTAAAATGGTAGATTTGGCTTTGCTCTTTCATTTACTTGTTTCAAATAACTGGTTTTGTGTCCTAAAAGGCTCTTTGCAGACCACTTAGGTGAACATACATTACAGGAAGGTCACCCTCAGAGTAATATGACTGTACTTTGAAGTCATATATAATTATTTCCTCTATGCAAACCGGTATTTAGCAGTGATTGTACTTCTTCAACTCAGACTACAGCTACTGTATGTACATGGACAAAAAAAGGTATGTTGGAACATCAATGACTTCTTTTCTAACTTCTTATTTTCCAATGAAACAAAACACGTGATGGGTGAAAAGAATATTTTTAAAGGCCATGTTGAACTGATCCATGTCCACAACAGGCCCTCGTACCAGAGGTTCGGACTTTGGAAATAAGTTTGTGTTGAGTTTTTAGACAAGTCCAAGTTTGCACAGGCAGTTGGAGAGTTCTGCTCTGTGCAGAGCAGTGCAGCCCATGTGGGTAAGATTGTGGTAAACAAATGACTATGTCAAAGCCTAATCAGCCAGCATGATGCATGGCGTCAGGAAAGTGTTTGAAAATGTATAGATACGAGACAGGGCTGGTGCATGATCAATGACACAGTACATTGTTTGATGTAATAATTTATTCAGCCCATAACGCTTTGATAAAACAATGTTGAAAAGCAATTTAAATGGAATTCATTTAAATGTCAATTCTCATGGTTAGGATTTTTCTATAATTGGCTATTTAATTAAAATAATTTTCATAGTCATTAATACAGCGGGCAACTTGTAGCACGCTGACGTGTTTTAATTACATGGTATTAACAAAATTGATATGCTTTAGAAAGCATAGTGAATAAGAAATAATTAGACCAATCATACATCATCCTCTTATGGACATTAAGTGTATCAGAGTATAATTGATGAAGTTAAAAAAGGAGAGAGATAAATAACTGTAATTGTGCAGAGTTAGTGTACAGAGCCAGGAACAAAGAATCACACTCACCGTGTATTATATATTTCACAGGCAATTCATTATCAGTAACATCACTTAGCTGTGGCTGCCCAGCTCTCTCCTCTAACCTATGATTACATGACATCTGAAAGTAGTGATACTGTGTAGTCTTTTAGAATGTCCTTTTACCTCCTCAGCATTAATCTTCTGAGCAACTGTTTTTTTTTTCTCCACTGGCCAAGGAGGGAGAGAAGCAGTGTGAAGAAGTTAAAGTCATAACATAACATTAGCCTGATTACATACAAATAAAAGAATAAATAATAAGTGGTTTTCTGAAAAATGTTAAAGATTAAAACTCTGAATGTAATACTCAATAAATATGTTCTCAAGATACATAAAAAAGAAAGGATAAATCAGATAGAGCTAAGTTTTGGCAAAAAAAAAATTGTGATGGAAAAACAGATAAAACATAAAACAAAATTGTGCAAAATTAATTTGTATAAAATAAAGGACTTACTATTGCACTAAAAATAGCCCAAACCTCATCTAGAGGGTTAAAAGGAATGATAAAGCAAAAAAAAAAAAAAAACTAAATCAATATTACCAAATACTGATCAACGTTGAGGGACATTTTATAAAACTGAACAACCGTGCTGAAAAGTTTGAAATCAAAAATCTTTGTGAAGAAAGATCTAAAATGATCACGGCATCTGCAAATGAAGGTCAATCTTAAAAATATGTCTAAGTAATATAAATAAGTTAAATAAAAACGTCTTAGTCCAGAAATTGTTAATAAAAACTCAAAGAATTACTAAAGTCTGACAAATTAGTTTAGTTAGCACAAATAAGATAATAATAAGATAATGAGTGAGCGATACATATCTTAAACTAAGCAGAGGCACAGAAAATAAAGAAAAGTAGAAAAAATAGACAAAAATAAATCAATGATAATAAATTATAATATTGAGAATTGATAAGTCGTAAAAAGGCTATTAAAAATGTATACAGAGATAAATACAGCCAATCATAATTTATCCTTCTATGGACACAAAGAAGAAGATTAATAACTAACTGCACACTTAGTGTACAGAATGGAGAACAAATGTATAGTTCACGGGCAATTCATTATCAGTAACATCACTTAGCTGTGGCTGCCCAGCTCTCTCCTCTAACCTATGATTACATGACATTTAAAAATAGTGATACTGTGTAGTCTTTTAGAAT